TGTTCATCATACTAACAATCATAGTCACCTGTTGGATAAAGCAAAGATCCGGCACAAGACAAATTAAAAGACAGGAAGACAATCCCCCGGAGTAGAGTCAAAACCATCCAAACAAGATTCTACATCGCGTCCGAGGACGTCCGCACTTAAAGGGGGAGGAGTTAACATCCATTATTACAAATAACTAAACCCAACGCATTCAAATAAATAAGCCAACACAACGAATAACTAAAGTCAATGCACTCGAACAAATTCCATAAAACACGCGTGCCCCGTCAGCATATTTTCAGCAACGCGGGACTCATACAGAAATATGATGAGCCCACGATCACAGCTAAGGCGCATGGACAAGCGCCCCGTCAGCATATCCCACGGGAAGATAATCGTGGGACCCAGAACGGATAACTGACATCATCAGCGACAAAGTTGCAGCAATCAAGGCAACAGTGACAAAGTCGCAACGATCAGCTGAAGCAGCAGTCCGAGGTTTAGTTGTGATAAGTTACAGTTTATAAATTGAGTCTTAATAAAACATTCAAACGGAACAAACTGGTTTGTTTTATTAAAATCTCGAGGACTCGATTAATTTATATATGGCTAGCCGCCGAGTGGCGCGCAGAACTTTGATTGAGTTGATGGGCTATTGATGATGTTGGTGGCGACGGAGTTGATGGTGGTGGTTGTGACGGGGTTGATGATGAAGTTCGTGTTGATGGTGGTGGTGATGGGATTGTTGGTGATGTTGATGGAGTTGGCGGTGTTGGTGGTAAGATTGTTCACGTTGTTGATGTTGATCATGATGGATTTGGTCATGGTGGTGGAGGGATTAATGGACATGGTGATGTTGTAGTTGATGATGGAGTTGGCAATGGTAGTGGTAGGATTGATGGTCATGTTTGCATTAGCCACTTAAGTTAAATTGTCAAAATAATTTGGATGGCTCTGTCCTTGAGCCTTGAGTTATTCCAGGCGATATAGTTAAAGCCCGCGATGGAGTTGTCGGAGTAATTGTTATTGTTGAACTTTTTTATTTAATTTTATTTTTAAATGGAGATAACCAAACACACGAAGAAGGTACCAGCACGTGTCAAACGTACGCGCAAAAACCTACTTAAAACAGTTAACTTCAAAAGTACAATAATTTTAGTGTGGGAAAACATTCAAGTGTGAGGTGGTCTATGAGTCCATTGATCCATTGATAAAGAAAGTGAGAAAAGAGAAACGAGAATTATCTTTGCAATGATCATTGAACCCACCCCCAAAAATCAAATCATGTACATGCACAACAGTGCGGCAGCTGCTACCTGTTCTTCTACTTGATTCTAGCACACAGGTTACACGCCTAGCACACAATATCCTCATTAAAAATACAATCACGTACGCACACACAAGTGCTGCTGAGTAATCCTCCACTTAATGCCAACCCACTATAAAAAGGGTCAGCCATAAATCTATACCCTATTTATTCTAAAAAAGTCACACACCTGTCACTCCCTCACTCAAAAGCAATACATTAACTGCAATAATGAAGCAATTCAAAATCTAAAGCAATAAGCCACTTGTAATGAACAACATGGAGCAGATGGGCTATTAGTACGTTCGGAGTACGCGCATGCTTTGGCTGAAACTCGCCGGCAATTCGGGTGGGTTATTATTTGTCAACCGACGTGGTGCACTCGCCCACCCTCCCATGGTCCTGCGGGCCGTTATAAACATCATGATCACTTGGGATGCTCTACGGCAGCTATCCAACCTCCATCAGGAATTTCATGTCATCCATATAACAACGACTTCAATACATTTAAATATTAAGCCACGAAAGGTTTATATATTTCATATTTTTAAATGATTGATTTATTAATACAATTAGAATATTATAGATATGTGTATACAACGAAGCGATAATTATAGTTTATACGCATATTTGCTGAAAGATTTTTAATTAAATTATTTAACAAAATGCCAGTTGATCAGCGCGGTTACTTTTAACAAAATGCCAGTTGATCAGCGCGGTTACTTTCTGCAAGTTGCCCTGCAGTAGGTACATGCATCATCAATTCAACACGTGGTATGCACATCTTTAAATACATATACAATGTATATATAAATATATATGTATATATTTGTATATATTGTTTCTATTTACTATAATTGGGTAGTTTATATGAAAATTATGCGCTCAGTGCATGGTCGCCTTGCATTTTAAAAAACAAACAAAAATAATAAGGTGAAGATATCTATTTGATTAGCAGTATGGCTGCTGTTGTAAGAGACTTATGAATAGTTGCTCAAGTTTAAAGAGTAGCTGTGCAAAGTTTATGTACTCACATTATGCAGGCATGGTTCTCTATCTAAGCGCGACTCATAATAAAAGAAAGAAATAAAAGAAAGAGAGTAACTTACATATATCATCCCACGTTGGAAGTACTTCCTGATGTTGGAATGTGTGTGTTGCTGTAATATGTTATCAAGTGATAGAGAGTGCAAATATCCCAAGCCTCGTGCGAAAGCTCACTGAGGGTAATTATCATGGGAGAGATCAATTATCACGAAAGCAATTGCGAAAGTTCGCTGTAAGCATAAGCCATACGCTGAGACAAATTTTTGTGTGTTTTTCATTTCGCATGCACTTCTAAATAAAGGGTACTTATTAGTTATTTAAATTTTTTTTTTTCTTAATTACACAGAACCGTCACAATTTCCTTTTTTTTCAACTTGCATTGTTGGGTAACTTTATTTTTAGGATTAATTAATAAACAAAAATTCTTTTTAAATTACATTTGATTTAACTTTTACTCATTTACTTTGCTGAGTGCTCATGCGTATGAGCTTTTTCTATGTAATATGTAATACACTATAAATATTTAACTTTACATCGATGTTAATTTTTCATTATTCACATTTGTATATAAAGAAAAAAGGAAATTGGTCTTATTCCTTACTACTTATATAATTGTTAAAGTTGTAGTTGTGTAAAGCTGATAAGCTTGGAACGAATCAGAAGATCCGCAACTAACTAAAGCAATTTGGGCAATTAGCCTAGCACCGACATCTCCACCGTGAACATGGGCGTGGCAAAGGCGATATATTTATAAAGTTGTCAATTTGTTGCTCCAATTAATCCAATATGAATTTCATAAATTACAAATGCAACCTAGATCACATTGCTAGTACCATGAAAATTAAACACTAGGTACAATAGCCATCCAACTCCATTACGTGCCACATTAAGTTAAATGGTTATTAATTTATTTATATTTAAGAAATTTCAGAATAGGCACTGATATAAGAAGCGTGTTGTGCAGCTTGCTGCAGCGAAATTTCTAAAAAGAATTTTCTATTTCGACACGGTTTTTCAACTTACAGTAGTTGTAGGATTTTCTCCTTTATACACTAATTGTTTTATTACACTGTATAGCAAGTAACCAATTTAAATTTATTTATTTTTGGACGTTTGCACCTCGCACAACTTGTTCGCATAAGGGCAACGAGATGAAAAGAATATGTCCGTGGTCCAAAGACAGAGACGTTTTGCCAAAAATTCGCTTTACCCTAATATTTCAACAATTTTGAGTTTCCTTTATTATTGCATTTGTTTGGAAGCTCAACCCTATTGCTCATACATAGATGGCGCTAGATGTGAAAGGCAACAAATTATTGCATCTTTTTAGGAGAAAAAAATTTATAAGATCGACTAGCGAACCATTACACACTTCCTGTCATAGAATCCCCAATTCCTTACTAGTACTCTATGCACCGTAAGCGAATGCATTTGAGCGCGGTAATCGCGCAATCATAGCGGTCATTAAATCGTATTTAAATCAAAGCCAAGCCATCTGGGATAAGAATCTTAGTCAAATATGCTGTGCCTTAATATCTAGTGTTCATGCAGCTGTAAATAGCAGCCCATATCGTGTTGCGTTTGGTCAACAAATTATCACTAATGGTTCCACGTACCAGAACTTGCGGAATTTGCAAATGTTGGAAGACCAGTCCGTCACTTTTAATAGAGAAGACTCATTTGACGAAGTTGCTAAAAAAGGATGAATGGAAAAGTTTATAATCTAGTTAGTCGTGAGGTCTTCTATAATATTGGGTAGGAAGTATATAGAAGAAACTTTCAATTGAGTAACTTCGCTAAAGGTTTTAGTGCAAAATAGCACCAGCTATTTCGTAAAAGACTTAAATAAATATCTTTTTAGAATGGGCACTAGTGCATATTATTAGAACTGGATTTTTTCATTGTCCGATCGCCTTTGCCATGCCCAATTTTACGGCGGAGGTGTCTGTCCTAAGCTAATTGCCCAAATTGCCTTATTTAATAGGCATACGAGAGTTCCTCTTAAAATTCTCACTTGCCGCACGTCTTAACATAAAACCATACATACCATCATATTTGGGTCGTTCCATCGGGGCATCGAATGCATCTCATTAGTGTGCTTACACCGGACCTAACCTGATAACATGGTCAACTTTCGCGGATCTTCGTCTTCGTTGCAAAATTATCAACTTTAAATAACATACATTTTTTGAATTCAACTTTAACTCGCCACACTATACTTATACCATTTTCGTCACGTTGCAATCTCAGATAGAGGAGTATCCAATCGATCAGATATCTCATGCGGTAATTTTCGTCGATTTTACGCTTCTATGTATTGTCTGCTTATTTCCAGTACGCAAATCAAAAAAATAGTTTAGACTACCTTAAATATAATTTATTGCGCTTGTGGAATCAAAATCTGAGATCTGAAAATTTACATAGAATATAATAAAATGCTGCCGCATGACAAGGAATTTCTATTAAAAGACTGATTAAAATATTGAACGCCATCCATAAGAAGCTAGCAGAAACTATATATTTTTTTCTAAACATGAAATCACAGCGACCATTGAAAACTGTTTTTAGTAAATCAAAGAAAATAATTAAATCTTATTACACAATTTCTAAAATTACTCAGCAGGCGACTGTGTTGAATATCTTACATAGTCATATCTATGTATCATAGACTAGCTGTTCATGCACAAATAGCAAGCGGCAAAGCTTTGGTGCGATAAATATAAATATTAATAATGGCAAGGCGGGTCAACATTTTTGGGTGCTGTGCATTTTGCGATCGTGAGGTCGGCAGTGATGGGCGCCCCATCAATAATGTTAATATCCACTCGGATGAACGTGAGTTGGACCAGCCAACAACATCAGATGTTAGTGTGTTGAGTGCAACTTGTTCGGAGGATTCAACGATTCGACTACAGGAGGATGATATGGAAGTTTCGGATTATGATTTGCTGAATCCCATTTTGGAAATTGTCGAGAATCAGTTTGAGCTCGGCACAAATTCTGAAGTAAGTTGCCAATTGCTTTGAAATGTCGGTTATAGTTATTATCGTTGTTTTGTACAATTTTGAAGGCGGTATTGGAGGATGATGCTAAGCTCGTTATGACTGTGCTAAGGGAAGAACGGATTCGATATGAAAACTATTTGGCCGAGAACTCTGCGCATTTGAAAACGCCGATCTAGCGACAGAGGCATTAGCCAATATTGCTCCACTGGCAACAATACTCAAAAAACATTTTCTCAAATTTAACTAAATCGTATTCAAAATTCCGCCACATGCATGGTTCTTAAAGTTATGTTTTTTCAAGCTGGACTTTCCCTTAAATCTTTAGACATGTAATCAGTGGGAATCTTAACGATATTTATTTTTGATTTCTTAACAAATTTTCCAAATCAATTTTTAATAACACAACGTTTGGCTCAAATTATGTTTTAGTTTTTGAAGAAACAAAAATTTGAAGTTGCGTCGAATCAAAAGCCTCTTTAAAATCAATGGTTACGTTTTAGATTTTGATGTCCAAGTAGACGTCTAACATCTGCAAAGAGAAATTTCAAGGACCCTGATTCGTGAGTAAAATGTTCGATTTAAAAAGCCTCGCTAATAGAAAGTTTTTTTTTTACCATTCTCAGCATGTCATTTGTCACAACGGCTTAGTATCGACCTGATTCATTAACTGATATATCTTAAGCTCAGCACAATAAAATAGTGAATAGTTAAGATTTATATGTTGGCCATTTCATGTAAATCGGTGCATAGCCGCTGATGGCAGCAGCAGCAAAGAACTTTAATTTATTATGAGTTGTTATCATGTTTGACTTTGGAGCCCTGCGTGGCTTAATATAAATAGCTTATTGTTAGTCTTAATTACATATGTACAATATGTTAAGTGCAGTTTGAGCTGCAGTAGCCAGCTTTATCAGCGCTCTCTATTGCTCGATAAAGGGCGTTCGCTGATCGGCCGGATGCTGCAGCTAATCAGTTGTTTCGCATAGCTCTAGCTTATTGATCGGTTATAGTTATTCTCGTTGTGAGAAGGTTTAGCAGTGGCTTCAAACCTTCAATTTCGGTAATCGGTCATTAGTTGGTCTTTCTGTGAAAAGGTTAAGCATTTGGCTTCAAACCTTAATAAACAAATTGTCAGTAGAAAAGGCTAAGCGTTTGGCTCCTAGTCGAAGTATATTCGAATAAACTTTATAACGTGAAAATAACTTCGTGTTATTGGAACATAAAGCTATCAAAAAGCTGGCAGCGCAAACATTGGTGACTCTGACATGATCGTGTATCGTAGTGTTTTATAAACAACAACCTAATCAAACAAAACATTAGTGTACTCATTTGCAAAAAACTCTAATTTGGACAGCCAAAGGTGCATAAAACAGACACAACAACAAGTGCAATAGAAATCCGGTACTCAATCATCGTTTACAGTGCGTCTCTGCTTCGCTTGAACTTTTTTTCGTGTACATAAGCAGCTGTGCGTGGGCGATTGAGTACATAGAGACTGTTTCTTTCTCGGTGCAGTTGTTGTTTTCGGTAGTTTTGTGCATTTGGCTGCAATTTGTGCGCGCGTTAAGCTTAAATGTGAATACAAGCACAGTCGCGTCTGAAGGTAGTGTGCCTGCGCAAATATCGTTTTATAAGCGGAAGGTTGACGATATTTATAAATTGCTAAAAAGTTTTGACATTTCATGTTCGGAATCTGAGATCATTTCATTTGATGCTGCGCTTCTTAAGGAAAAATAAGACTTAGTGAATAGAATTGAAAAATCGTTTACCCTTGAGCATGAGAAACTGGAGTGGCTTGACTATAACGAAATGTGTAGTGAGTTTTACCAAAGCTTCCAATGGCTGGTTATGACATTGGAGGACCGATTGAAAGGGCATCTTGAAAGGTGTGTATTGCGGTCCATATCGTCCACACTCCGACACATGGAGTTGGTAGTTGATCGGTTGACAGTTGATGATAAGAAGCGTTTGGTGTCGGTACCGCATATCAGAGAGACCGACAAGGAAGATGCTGATGCTGGAATTGGAGCAGGATATGGTGCACTGGCACGCAAATCTGAACCAGAAATCACTAAGGATGGCGTCACGGAGGCCAAGGCTATTGAGCTGAAGAGCATGTCGCGTCTGGTGAAGACCCCCGAGAAGAGTGTCCAGGTTGCAACAAATTCGGCCAATAATGACCAGTACACTGGCAAGCTAGTCAGCGATTTCATGAACAGTGAGGAACGTGATGGCGTCATCGCCGTCAAGGCACCCGTCTTCGGTGACAGTCGCAAGTCCACATTGATTGATATGGGTACCTTCCCGGTAGGCATTGTGTTCGATGATGATGCAGATCTGATCAAGCTAGAGTTGAAGGCTGAGCGACTCCAGGAACAGACCGAGGGGGATTTGAAGTGCGAGCAGCATTCCGTGAAGATTTGAATTCGACTATATTCCGGCGAGATGCACAGATAGCGAGAGCGTCTTGGGCCCAACCATCATCAGGTGGATGCTGACACTGCGATTCGTTCGGCCAAGAATCACGAGTACTACAAGTTGCTGCACGAGAACAATACGTGGAAGTTATCGCTTGCGTTGAAGGATCTGCCCTTTGTCGCACGGAATCCGATAAGGAAGGCACAGATGTTGGCCCACCTAGGCAATGATCTGCTGATGAGCAAGGAGTCGCTGGAGAAGAGCACCAATCAGTTAAGGGCCGCCTGCGTTGGACAGGATCGGTTCTGGCGACGCTACTGGAAGTTGCCCAAGGCGGATGACATCTTTATTGAGGCCCGGGAATCGGCACAGAATGACATCTGTCGCTATCAAGCACTCGAGTCCATGGACGATGAGAAGCATTAGAAATTAAACAATGGGCGAATGGGAAGATGGACGACAAGGATGTTCCAGATGAAGAGCCACAGTCAGCGAATCCAACAGCAGGCGCAGATGGAGCAACAGCCGCCGCAGAGCCAATGGAAGTGGATGATGCCGAGTTGGTGGAAGCCACCAAGCAGGAGCCAGTGTAACCATCACCCCAAGCCTTCGGCAGGCGCTTCAAGCGAGGTCATGTTGCGGTCAAACTGTCAAGGTTATTGAAGGAAAGAAGTCGTGTAGCAAATCGAATGTGAATAAAACATAAAATACGTGATTGTAACTTCAAAGGTTACAGTGTATTTTATATATATATAAATTATTGTGAAAGTGCGGTAGAGAATAAAAGGTATGTTAGAGCAATTGGTGAAAGAAAAATATTCGATCGAACCAATTCCAACCGTTATAGGCAATTTCCTTGGGAAAGAGTATAGACCAGACCTGCCACCATTTCGAGCCAGCTACACGCGGTTAATAATTTACACCGAGGGAATGATATAATCCGACAAGGTCGCAATTAGTTGGCTTTATTCCATTGAGTCGAAATCGGAAGCGTCGCTGGTCAGCGGGACAAAGTGCGGAACAGTGTTTAACCCAAGAGGGCAACTTCATCCCACGGATCCCGATTCAGCGCATATTCGCTATTGTCCAGGAGACAATAAACAGTTTGAAATCAAATAATTCCGAGTTTATTATCAGCTATTGCCAGATGACCTTAAAAGTTAATCCATAAAAACGTGAATGATCAGTCAGCTGCGTAGCACACGCGCCTACTTACAAACATACGTAGTTTTTGAGCTAAAGTCATAAAATTTGAATAGATCAGAAGGTTTGAGCAGATCATAAATCTTCTGCTAAGTTTAGCGTATTCGACAAGTTCAACTCGTAATTGGCGAAAAGCTCTAAATTACTTTGAGTATCTCACGTAAACACTAATAGTAAGAAATGTAATCGTTGAAGTTTTTTTTATATTAATATGTTCATTGTCGTATAAATTTTGAAATATGTCATTGTAAGAATAAGTAATTGATGCATTAATAGTTAACAATACACTGGCTGATATTAAATCAAACGGATAGTCAAATGTAAATTATATATACTCGTATATAGTGACATATTCAGATCATGCAGATCCCACACTCACACCGCAGACGCACTTTCAATTAATATAATCATAGCAGGCAAGATAAGATAAGCATAAACAAAGAATGCAACTACCAAAAGAGACCCTCCATAAACAGACCATGAGATAAAAAGCAAGTGTGAGGTTTCCTTATAGATTAAACCACTAGCACAAGGAGAGTTACATTTTGTTCACCAATCTGAGCAGACGTGTTTTTGAATAAAGACTGGTATTTTTTAGTAATCAAACCGTTGTCAGACTTTTAATTATATATGTGTTTCCTAATGTTTAAATAATTTTTCAAACAGCTTCATCTCTGCGTCGACGAACATTGGGCGCAACGATCGCATCGACTTAAAAAAAAAACAATCAACGTAGAGTGAGTAATGAACTAGCTATAATGTAGGTGCATAAACAAGTACATATCTAAATACGACCTACCTAGTAAATAAGGGAAACCATATACATATATCAAAAACAACAAAAAAAAAAAAAGGACTGATCCACAGCCAAACACGCCATGTAACGTCCATTATCTAAAAACTTATTTATTTCGCGCGCTCAAGAAAGGGAGATGGTAGAATATTATCCGAGCGGCGAGCATAAGATGGAATAAAAAGGCCAATGATCTGATTTTTTGGAGGACAGTTGAATGTCAAAGGTGAGAAGAAAGGAGTACGAAGGAGCGCAAAGTGCGGGAGTAAAATGTCTTTTTTTTTTTTAGAAAAAAAAGGTGAAAAAAAGGGAGAGAAATATCGGGACTAAATTCGAATTAAAAACCAAAAATACCAACATACAATATTTAATAAAATCCACCGACAGCAACAAATTCAAATGATCGAGGGCGCTATGCAGCGCCCGCTGCAAAGAACGCCCAGCCACTGTAGGACTTCCGGTCTGTGCTGTCTCCAGCCCAATCTGCATCGACGAAACAGTGTATCGCCTGGCCGGTCTTCTTGTAGTGCAAGCTCAACTCTGCAGTGCCCCTCAAGTATCTTAATACTCGCTTGACACCTGCTTCGTGCTCCTTGTGTGGATCTGAATTCCGCTGTGCTAGCTTCGTTACTGAGTGCAATATATCAGGCCGTGTAGTTATGCCTAGATACATTAGCGAACCTATCAACGATTGATAGCTACCTTGGTTCGTTCGCTGGCATCCGTCATTGTCGCATCTGACTTGAAATCCTGCCTCTAGAGGTATGGCATTAGATTTGCAGTTGTGCATACCATACTCACGTAGAAGGTTCTCAATGTAGTACTTATGACCGACAGTAACGCTGCCCGTTTCACCTTCACGATCAATTTCCATTCCTAGGAAATGCTTCAATTGCCCGCCATCGACTACGTCGAACTCCTGTGATATGCGCTCCTTCACGCAGTTCAGATCTTCCTTGCTTGTGCTGGCCACAATAAGATCGTCGAC